TTGAATGTATGTAACATGTTTGTTGGATGGCTCACACGCGAGCTCCTCCCCATATAATAATAATGCTTAATGTATGTACACATATGATCTGGTAGCATACACCGAATTAATAGAGCTCGAGTCCTTTACAGATAGTCTCGGCGAAAGCTCATGCGTATAAAAAAGGCTTGAATTGCGGGGTACCCACGAGCTATGTGCTATGCTATGGGCACGAGACAGGTAGCTATGCTCGAGCTCTCCCTACTTACGAATAATTGCATGATACTTGGGTGCATACATCGAGGACTTACTGCGTGCATATATTTTCTGAACTCGACAACCAGTGCCATTTCAAAGTGAACTGCCACTACATACAGAGTACATGCAAGACTCATCATCACAATCATCATCACCATCATCATCATCATGATGATGTGGAGATGGGGCGCTGCGCCGGCATACTTCCGCGTGGGATGCATATGCATGTTTAATTGACTAGGCTAGCTGGGGTACAGTTGACTGCATGCAGACTTGACTTACCTAGCAGACAGACAGACAGTTGTCATGCCATCCATGCATGTTGACGGGTGGATTTGAAACGTTGATGGGCGACATGGACAGGTCAGAGGTCTAGAGGGAACCGAAGAGCTCACTGATTGGCCTTGGGACCATGTGATGACCCCCACTAGCGCGAATAGTACTGCGGCTGTCTTTATTCAATATATATGTGAACTTACTTTACTTGAACTACTCGAGTACAGAGAAAGAAGCTGAGGTTTGTGTAAATATAGCGAGTGCTATAATGGAGGGATGTAACGTCCTTTCACACGTGCTCAGGAGTTATAAGCACCCCATATAGTATACAAGTTGGGTAACCTTTTAAGCGACATAGATCCAGATCCAGAATCAGCTGTGAACGAGCGCCTCAAGTGTGGGGTTCATCATGGCTTACATCTTAACCCTTCCCTTTGAAACCCACATAGAATGTGCGCGGCCATGTATGTATAGGTAGTACCTAGTTTGCTAGGTATGGAGCGATCGATCGATATCGATCGGGTCGACGAGATGTTTCCACGTGGACGTAACCTATCATAATATAACGAGGTTAGCCAAAGCATGAGTACCTCACTTCCCTCTAGATCTAGCCAGTTCGGTTGTAACAGAGCTAGATGGCCAGCTCCCAATGAGCGTTTTAAATTGGGATACATACATACATCATATCGACTCTAATTTGTGCGTTATATTTCCATATATTCGAGTAGGTACGTACTCTTCGATCCACTCAAGGCAGCCCCGGATAACGCGGGCCGCGGGTAACATTTGCTGAAGAGTCAAACGTTGCAATTAGCTATTCTCCGAGTACGTATACTGCACCTAGGACTGCCCCAAATTTAGGCTTGCGTCATTTTGGGGCGTTGCACTACTGCTTAAGCTTGGCCATTCGGCGTGTTCGAGTCTTGATTGCGCAAATCACAGCGTATACGTGTTCTTGTGCTGGCCCGCGCCTTACTTTTTATTGAAGATAGTTATCTTGATTTTGGAGCTGAAGATAGTGGCCAGGAGCACAATATGCTTAAATACTTACATAATTATCCGAGAGGAATGCTCCTGATCTACCCAATATGGTATAAGAAGGTACTTACCTAACTTAGCGAATTAAGCAATTCTCTAGTCTCGCTTGGGTACCCTTACCTCCTCGTGTACTTGATTTCCACTTGCTCATTCGGTAGTTCACACTAGTCTAGACTTCCGGGTCCGAAAGTGGCAGTTCCCGAGGTCAAGTATTGCCAAATGTGGAAGTAACGTAATTAAACAACTGTAACGTCCAACCGCACTTGTTATGATGCTGATCATGATGATGAACTTGAGTATTGAAAGCTTCAACCATAACTACACCGTATATGTATGGACGTAGGTTTTCGAGTAGGAACCTGTTTCCTAAGCACACAATTGAAATACGGATATTAGTTTAGTCGTCTTTGCAATTATACTCTCAGCAGATTACGTCAACCAGAGGTTCAGATATATAGCTTTCAAGTCCGATACGAAATCACGAGTGGGAAACAACGGCGAATCGGAAGATACTAGGAACCAATCTGATCATGTCATGTGCAATAAAAAACAAAACCTAGGCCATGGCCATGGCCACCAATCGTACACTTATGCAGTAAATGGCCACACCACAGCGCAGGTACCGCTCAAAATCGAGCGGATCACCATACGCATCGTTTAAAACTACTTGGTAGTAATTTTTGTTCTTTCGACGTACTGTACTCGTACCTGCGTTCATCACATCGGCGACAACTCACTCCACATAATATATCAGCACGGGCACATTCTACTCGATCGTGTGGTCCATCCTGCGAACTTTTGTTTTTCTGGTGTATGGGGCTTAAACATCCCTACTTGCCAGCGAATCGCACGCCAGCATGCAGCACAACCTTGTAGTTTGGTTGGTTGCAACTGCACATGATATTCTTTGGAGAGTAGGTTCTCGAGAGTCTTGATTCCGGATCTTACTGATCTGATCGGTTGAACTTTGAGCGTTTTCTCTTTTGGGACTTTCAGGCAGTTTGCCCGCCGTAGCGAAAATGTATTTTTCGAATGACTTTATTGAGTTTAATATGAAAACCTGATGTAACTAATTGTATGGAAATTCGCAGAGTGTTGTGCCCGCGGGTACGAGACTATGTGCCGCTTGAATCTAACTTTCAGTGGTTGACGGATTTAATTATGGCAAAAATTGGGCGTGGCCCGTCCAAAGACAAGCCGTATGCGCTAGTGAATAGAGGCTTCGTTGTCACTGATGTTTCAACTTCGTTCAACACGTTTGCTACCACAAAGGTAAATGCTACGTATGCTGGCCAAGCGTATCATGCCTCAGCCAGCGGAAAAAAAGGGTACTGCCACTCTTTGTTCCATGTAACTGGAAGTTACCCATTTGGATACGTAGGTATATGATAATTATAATTTAAGCTGGATCCGAATTTATCGCGACAGGCGCACATGGACATGGATTATTTCTTCATTGGGCATGACAAACAGCCCTGACCACCGAAGGATCCGGAGCCATATGTAGCCATATGTAGTCATACAAATACACATCATCGCAGCTGTCAAATCGCAAAACCCCGTTAGACAGGGCAAGTCCTAACGGAGATTACTTTTATAACGTCATCACGTGTGCATGCGTCCATTCATTCGTAATTACCTATTCCGTGCTATGGCGTTAGCATCTCATATACTGGAGTAATAGTACTAGAATAGTAGAGTACTGGAGCATACGTCTCCCAGTCACCTTGAAAATATGAAAATTCGAACTAGGACTGTAAACCAAGTCAGGAAAGACATTAGCTAGGAACACATCTAGACAAATGCTGACATCTTGTTTCATTGGAGCTCATTGAGGGTTCTCTAGCAAGGTCTACTCTATACCCAAAGACCGAGGTACTGGGAATTCGCATTTCGAATCAAATTGAATTGTTGCACGGCCGAACTGCGGCGCAGCTCAGACATATGTTGTTTTACTCGGGTATATTCCTCCTGGATTAGACGTATCCGCGGATCTCCAACCGCTGGGTCTAGAGATACATGCACAAAGTGGGTATTGGGAAGGCGCCTTGGCTCATCAATTTTTTATTGTTGGCCAGGTTTGAGAAAGACCAGACACTCCACGGCCAACCATTACTCATACGCTATAGTTACATCCGTACTTGACAGCCGCAGAGCGCCGTTGGCCATCGGGTGAACTGGTGGTGGTGGTGGTAGTGGTACGTAAGACATGTACGTGCAAATTGCACGTGAAAATTGACTTTAGTAGATGGACAATGAAATTGTGCTCTGATTGGGTTCGAATATTGGGCGAATTAGAGGAGATTGTGGATCAAGTCATATATTATTGTCTAGCCAGTAAGAACATCCCGTCCAGAGGTAGGTTCCGTTACGCCGAATATAAATATGATCTCAGCAGAATTGTTATTCGTAGGGTTATACCTACTAGATGCGTAGACGCCGAACTCGAACACAAATCAAACCCACTCGCATCAGAGCTCAGAGCTCTTGTCTATTTCTCATATATATTTTGCAACCAAAAATATGAATGAATAATGAACCAATTATCAATTATACAACCAATAACAGTAATATAGGAGCCACATAATTAGCGGTAAGAGCAAAAACAAAGAATCAAACATAACCTGTACATCCGCTGCTAAAGAACAAATTTGAATACGATAGGTGACCTAATCGAGTCCCTACCTGCCGTGATATACGTCGATAAGTACAATCAGATTAGGTACATGCTCTAATCGTGGCTAATTTCAGGGCCCGGCCATCCACAGTGAGAGCAATGTGTGTTTGGCAACAACCAATTACCGCATCGGAGGCAGTTACGGGCTGGGTTGTTACGATAATCTACTGCTGGAGCTTTTACCGCTGACACGGATCCAGAAGATTTGGCTGCAGAGGGTGAGGTAGTAGTTGGGTGCATGTTTGTAGAGTTGAAGGGTTTTAGGAGTGTAGTGAATTCGACAAGCCCGGTGGTTGTAAATTGTGATGGTATTTTGCTGATCTCTGTACTTTTGGCTTGTTTGTGTATCAAGGACGGCATGTTGAGGACGGTATATGAAAATGTCGGCTGGCCATACTTGCTTGAAAGTTATAATGACCCGATGTCAGCTATGGCCATGGGGATATGAACTGATGACCATGGCCTCCATCCCCCGCTCGAACACATACTTCGTTGACTTTCAAGGGCCAAATTCAAGAGGTTATCGACAATTAGTTATGGCCGGGATTCAATTTCACCAATTCATCACTCGATGTGGGTTCATATACATTACTTGTCACTGCTGTTGAGTTGTTTAAATACAATCAAGCTCAAAACTTACCCTCAAACGTTGAATGCTCACTTAAATACCCAAAACCGTTTCTTTTACATAAGAAAGCAGAGAGTGGCTAAAATGGACTCGGATGGAAAGAGTGCTTCCCCAAAAGGAATGTTATCAAGAAAATTAGACAACTCCCTTCGACCAGAGTCGAACTGGTGACTAACCGGTGATCCATAAACTCCATTACAGCCTGTAATACCAACTGCACCACAAAGGGTATTGATATTCATGCTAACGCCTACATGTTTTTGAATTTAGTTTCAGTAGTTTCATTCTGTGAGGTAGATCCAGCGGAATCAAGTACTTCCTTGTTTTAATCCTGAATATTAATGCCCATGTACGTGTATGCATATCGTGTTTTCGTTGCATATCAATGATAAATCGTCTCGAACCTCGAGCACCTTTTCCCTCGGTTGTAAAAGAAATTCCCAATATAAACACATACATAAAGTAACATCACTTGATTCCTTCTTTATATATATGTATATTCCATTGTATTGCAATATATAAAGTTGTAGATAAAACAATTACAATCCTTCGAATAGCAAAAGTACAAGAATGACAAAATCCTCATCAGATAGCTTGCAAAAACGGAAGCAACCAAGTAAGTCTGAATCTGTATACCTGTCTGAATCATACATGGGAATATACAATATTTATAGTTACATGGACATGTGAAAATGTGATTTCTTTTATCTGTATCCGTGAATTCAAGATCTTATATAGGTATCAATCTTTTTCAATTCGCTTTTACATGGAACCTAAGATGTCACCAATTAGATGTGGTAGGTTTGGATGCATCTGAATCCTCATGCAAATCGCAGAGGGGCCGGGCCGGAGCTGCTGTGGATGGAGCAGGAGTTGAAAGTACTACACCGCCAAATAATCCACCCCCGGCGGTGCTTGCAGTGCTGCTGCTGCTGCTGGCTGGAGGCTTGCCGAAGAGTCCGCCTGATCCGGATACGGACCCACCGACGGGAGCACTCGCAAATAGGTTTGGTGCTGGATACGTACTTGATGATCTACCCGTCGAAGCTTGAGGACTAGCGCTTCCAAAGAGGGACGGAGACGTAGCCGGTGGAGGGCTTGAAATACTCGTTGTAGTACCGCCGAATAACCCAGTACCTGTTCCGATGGAAGTAGTAGTTGTATTTTTTGTTACAGGAGTGTAACTAAGACCACCGAAAATTCCCCTAATGGAACCAGGATCAAAGGTGGTAGTAGGCGTCGAGCTCTGGCCAAATGTACTGCTGAATGGGGCAGTATTTTGTGTGACGGCTGGTGATGGTGAGTTCTTTAGCGGCGCCTCTTTATTCCCAACCTCAGTACTAGTGGAGGCCGGTGTCTTTCCATCCTTCCCAGCCCCATTTTTTGGCCAAAGTGGCCTCACCAGTGAAGGCGTAACAGCCATCAATATTGCCCTCGAAAGCTGCGGGATCTCAACCAGCTCACCGAACCTCTCGTGGCTGCGGAGGTCTGGGAGGGCCCAGCTGGCGAATTGGGCAAGGTATTCTAGCAGTGGATCTTTCTCTGTGCCCCAAGATTCAGATTGCTTTTTGGTTTTATCTTCATCGATATCGTTGATATCCCCATCAGCCGATTTTCCTTTCGATTTTCCTTTCTCCTGGTCAGAATTCGTGAAATTCGAACTCTGGGCCAAGCGTTTTCCACGCACGGCAGAAGGAAGCTCCCCAAACGCACAAACCATCACATCAAACACCTCCTCAATCAGGTCCTCCCCAAATGCACCCCTGACCATTGCCTCGATCGGCATAACCTTTAAATTTGCCGGCCGCGGCGTAAGTCTTGAAGCAATCCTATTCATCACCAACTCCCCCAGATCCTGAATATCGAAACGGTCCGCGAATATATAAAGTTTCGCATCACTGAGGAGATGGGCTTCTCCAGTGACGTAGTTTGAGGGGCGGTAGTCCCCCTCGTAAACCCATTTTAGGAATAACTGGAGAGTTTCGGCTTCGACTTCAGTGAGATGGAGTGAGTTTTTGAAGCCGTCAGGAATATTATTGCAGGCGTGAGCGTGGAATTTGGGTGCGCTGGTGCTGAGGACGTCATTGTGAACATAATATATTTCTTCGAGGTCGTCGCCATCGGAGGAGGAGGTCAAAGATGATGGATCAGGGTCGGGGGTGGAGGCAGGAGTGAAGGTGGCTTCAGCTTGCACTGGTGATTTGGTTTTGAGGATGATTTTGAACATCGGAGAACGGAACCTTTGGATTCAGTCAAAAGTCAGCCAGTACTACTCAGTTCTGCTATAGCCCTAGCCCATGGCCAGCTAGCTGCCAAATCGAAACCCCTTTTCATTCCAATGTAAATCAGAAACGGGAGAAAAAGAGCACAACAACATACACCGTGTGACTCCGTTTTAACGCCATTTCGTCGATGTTTCTTGTGATCGTTGAGAACAACTTCGTGGCTCTCTATAAAACAATTGGTGTGATTCGACTATGTATTGTGCACGTGTCGTCCTGGTTATAGCTGAACGATAACTGTGATGGAGTATGCGTATTCGTAGACGAAAGTCTATTCAAGCGAAAAGGAAACGTTTCCAGAGGATTCCCCGCCCCAGTGCCACTTCGCCTCGAGCTCGAGCTGATGACGTATAAAACGTAAAATCCGGAGTGACTGAGTACGGTGTCGACGTCGAGCTGTCGATTGCCGATACAGGTAATAAAGAAAGCTTGATTAATTTAGCAATATCGCTGTCGATGGTCCGGGGAATAACGTTAAATAAGCGAAAAGGAAACTTAACAGAGCACGGCTCTTGTTAGCTTGCAAGTGTTTTACGAAGCTCAAGCTATCGCGTCGATAGGAGCTCGATGGATATAAGGTATATGCCCCTCTCCATCTCCCTTCCCCACCCCAGGTTGCAATACAATTGTGTTGCCTCGCACTGTGGCGTCTATATATATATAGCTAGGATCTCGTTTCAACCCCTTGTATTTGTGCTTGTCCATCACATGATATTTGTACTCCGTATTGGTGAGGTATTTGCCACGCTGGTAATTATTCGACTATAATTATAATTGCCTGTAAAGAAAGCGAACGTCAACATACCATAGGAAGCATATCGTTGGGAAACATTGCATGTTTCAAAGGTTCAAGCGACAAGCGGTATTTTTCGGAAGTTCCCTAAAGTTTACATTCGCATGTAACGATGTAGATCAATTGCATGCGCCAAATAATTGAGAAATCGATACTCCGTAATCGAGTACATGAAGGCTGAATTGCGATTGTGCATCGTGAAACTTCTGACTCACGAGTAATTATACTAGCATTTATAAGCACTCGAGCAACGTCAACGAGACATTCGCTAAACAATTACCTGTTCTTGTTGCAGTGCACACACGCAAGACATGACAAGAGCCGAGTTACCGATGTTTGATATCTATCGAGTTTCCTCGAGTCTGTAAAGTTACTTTTGATGGTAACGATAACCCGCGCTTGAATCTGTGCCTTCCGCCTACAGAAGCGCCTGTAGAATGATATGCTTGTTGCCTTGAAATTGACTGCCTGTTCATCTGATTCAAGTAATTTTTAGAGACCCACAAGAGGTAATAATATCTTATGTATAGAGTAAAATACGCCATTGATCAGATACCTAGTTTTAAGTGTGGTATACGCGAGTAGACCAGTAAACTAGCCGTAATATATCATTTTGACACACTTACATTCTATACTCTATATCTCCATCTACAATAATAGGAAGATGTGTTGATAATAGGTTCAGCCCTAGCTCTTACGTCCGTCATGAAAGCGCCAATAGGTAGACAGGAGAATTTGGATAAGTGGGGGCCAGAGGGAGTTTCACTTCCACTGGACACCTTAGCTACGTACCGTACCGTAAACGGTTATATTATATCTTTTCGTGGTGAGAAACTTCCGTAAAGGCATGACTTGGGGCAGGACCTAAGCTAACCCACACACGGAGAGAGTCTGGCCAGCGAGTTCCAGCTGCACTGGAGTGGCACTTGAGAAGTTGGCCGAACGTAGCCTGGGCCGAACGGGTCCTTTTCTTGTTCCACACTTGTATACGTACTCAAGCCTATGTATTTCACCTGGTAGACTTTTCCATCGGTCAACGCTCTCTCCCCAATTCACAGGATATAATCTTTCCAAGGGCGCTGTGTTCTTATGTAAATCACGGCTTCCGGATCATCTACATCAATTGTCGACGTCGGTGGTATTCGAATGCACTGTATATAAACAGCTAATCATTGCGGCTGTAGGACATACACGAGATGCACATGCGACATGTAGAAGCATATGATTGATCAATGGAATCGATATGCACGCAGGAGCTACCTAGACCGTCGCCAACCACATCATACCCCAAGAAAACAATTTCTCCACTTACATCGTACTTAACTGCTCAGCCTCATTATCAATCAACACATCTGCAATAGGGAAAAAATCAGAAATTGTTCATATTTGACAGAATCGCTACATCGAGTCAACCAGCAATCCCTATTGAGGGTAGACGTACTTAGCAAACAGGAAGAAAGGAATTTGAAGCAGAAAACTCGCTGTTACGCTGCACTTAATACTTCATTGATTTCAAATTGGAGGGTATCGATTCGGAAAGTTCACGATGCTCGACCCCCCTCTCCACCGACTCATTCGCTTTCTCCACATCATTGGGCTCTCAACAACCGCATATGCCGCTCCTGTCCTAGAAAATGGCGATGAGTTCTCGAATAACCTCTTTAGCGATCTCGGTATATATATAGCCCCATATTCCCCCTAATCCCAACGAATATTTAATTTAAATGTTATCCGCAATCACCTAGACAGAGATAAGCATTACTGATAGAAATTTTCATCATTGTATAGGACCTTTATTGGCCTTGTTTGGCGAGCGTGTGACAACCCAATACCTCCGTCATAGCAGAAGCGTGTATGAATGTATCATATTTGCATGTGGGCCCTTGGGGGTGTTGACGGCAATCACGTCAGCGATTAGGGTGGGCGGAAGTCATCAGCTCAAGGCTATGATCGGGAGGGCGGAGGAGACGGATGCACAGGCAGAGATTGAACTTTTGAGGTGCGTTATATCTTATCTTGGTATTTTAAAATTTTTAAGTATTAATATCGAAATTGGTGCGTACTCTAGCTCAACTTCTGAAGATGTTTGTGAATTGTGGAATGGAAAGGGTTTTGTGAGGGTGGTTGGGCGACCAAATATCCTTGAATTTGGAA